ATAGAATTCAAACGTCTGGAATGTTAAAACTTTTTCTTTTCCTTTTTTAGAGTTCAACTTGCTGTGAATAGAAGAACTGAAGAAGCAGTTGCAGTAAAGATTGTAGACATGAAACGTGCCGTAGACTGCCCAGAAAATATTAAGAAAGAGATCTGTATCAATAAAATGTTAAATCATGAGAATGTAGTGAAATTCTATGGTCACAGAAGAGAAGGCAATATCCAGTATCTATTTCTGGAGTATTGTAGTGGGGGAGAACTTTTTGATCGAATAGGTATGGAAAAAGATTTAAGATAATTATTCTACTAGACAAGTTTCTAAATTTGTTTTTTAATCTTAAGTCTTAATGTAAAATATTTTGTGAAATTAGTTTAGATTTGCCCAAGCTTCCACTTTGGCAATTACATTTCAGGAGTGGGAAAAATATTGGCATGGCATGTTGAAGAAATTAGGGGAGAATTTGAAAGATACCGTATAAATCATGGTTAGTATAAGGTAAGCAGGGGCTTTCAAGGTCTTGCTTGCATCCTTCATCTGGATGATAGTTTGTTATTTCTCTCTGTAATTTTCCTGTGATGTTAATTTATTTTTGCCACATAACAGATGGGGAAATGTGAGTTATTAAGTAGTATATGTGTAAATGGACCCCAGAGTCTTAATTGTTAGCATAAGATTCTGTTTGCTAAACTACAATCACTGATGATTAACCTTAGAATTAGGAGACTGTGTGGTTGATACCTGATTATATTTACCTGATACGCTAACTTTTATAATTAATTCTTACAGAGCCAGACATAGGCATGCCTGAACAAGATGCTCAGAGGTTCTTCCATCAACTTATGGCAGGCGTGGTCAGTACCTTTGACGCTTTTCCTTTTACTTAAAATTAGTATGAATGATATAAGTTACTAAATTTGGGAATGCTTCTTTTTTCTAGATTTATCTGCATGGTATTGGAATAACTCACAGGGATATTAAGCCAGAAAATCTCCTGTTGGATGAAAGGGGTAAGTTTAGCATTTTGTCACTGCTACCTAAATTATTTTAATACAGCCATACAAGGCTGTTTCAAGGCTTTTCGCGTTACTGAAATTTCAGGGCAAAAAAATGTGAAAAATCTAGGAAAGCTGGAGACTTATATTCAGATTTCACAAGTCCTTTTTGATATAGTTGTAGATGAGACAGTGAAATCAGAGCTTGATGTAATAGTAGCTCACTAGATGAATATATCAAGAGTCTTAACTCGTTAATGAATTAATAAAGGAAAGTTTCTGTTGGAATAGCTTGGACTTTAGCCTTGTCCTATTTGTGCTTTTTAATCTATGACTTGGATAAAGATGCAAGGAGTTTAGTTATATTTTATGAGTGTCATAAAAACTGAGAGGAATGAATAGTGCAAGTGTTAGCTTATAGAATCAGGATAAAAAAGAATCACAGAAATGTGGCACGTTATCTGGGGTGCCAAAAAAAATGTATACACATGATTTGTATTCATCTTTTGTTACCGGTATCTATTGAGTATTACAATTTTAATACAGTGTTTTCCTTTTTTAATATGTGTATACACTTTTTGGCACCCACTTTATGTAATGGAATATTCCTCAGCCATAAAAAAGAATGAAATCTTACCATTTGCAACAACATGGATGGACCTAGAGGGTCCATCTTATTAGACTAAGTGAAATAAATCAGACTGAGAAAGACAAATCCCATATGATCTCACTTATATGTATGTGGAATCTAAAGAACAAAATAAGTGAACAAATAAAACAGACACAGACTCATAGGTACAGAGAACAAACTGGTGGTTGCCAGAGGGAAGGGGGGTTGGGGAGCTGGGTGAAAAAGGTGAAGGGATTAAGAAATACAAATTGGTAGTTACAAAATAGTCATGGGGATGCAAAGTACAGCATAGAGAATATAGTCAATAATGTTGCAACTACTGTATAGTGCCAGGTAGATACTAGACTAATCAGTGGGATCATTGCATAAATTACATAAATGTCTAACCACTATGCTATATATCTGAAACTAATATTTAATGTCAACTGTAACTAAAAAAAAAAAAGTTTCAAAAAATAGATGTTGGCAGTGCAAAAAAAAAAAATGATGACAGCAGTGTTCGCTGCATGAGGTAGTGATTTTTGTCTCTTTTGTTTAATGTTCTATTTAATGCATTAGAGTAGTGTCTGGAAAATAGTAAGCATTCAAAAATATTTATTGAATGAATGAAATTAGCAGACCAGAGAGGTGGGTCAGATTTAACAAGTTTTCTTGTAGGGTAAATCTAAAGTCTAGTATTTGGATTGAAAAAACTAACCAAATAAGTACAGTTGAATGATATATCTTTGGCAGCAAAGCAGGTTTAAAAAAGACTTTTACTAGGCAGCGAACGTCATAATAATCTCCAGTATAATTTGGTCATTAGAAAACTAAGGGGCCGGTTGAGTGGCGCGTTGGTTAAGAGCTGGCTTGGAACACCAGAGGGTCCCGGTTCGGATCCCACATATGAGGGCCAGTGACACTGCCCTCTGCAGCTAAGATGCTGAACAACAGCTCAACCTGGAGCTGGGCNGCGTATGCTGTAGCCCCTGCTGCAGTGGGTTGCCATGGGCTACCGTGTGTCGCCAGCCGCCAGTGTGAGCGGCCAGCATCCGCCATGAGCGGCCGTCCAGAAGCCGGTGACTGATCTGCCTCGCCTGGGACGAGCGCAATGATGGTGCCAACTTGGGCCAGTGAAGCAACATCCTCCACAACTAGACTAAAGAACAAAACCACAGCAACTTGTCTGTTCCCCTTCCCCCAATTCCCCAGCGCTGTTCCCATCCCCCAATAAAAACCTTTAAAAAATAAAATAAGTAAAGTGACAGACTGAAGGTGGCCCTCACAGCCCTGACTTGCCGCTGGGCAGACGCTGGGAGACTCCAGGTACGGAACGGTGGAGCGCACGATGGAAACGCAGCGTCGCAAGTGCGCGCTTGTCTCTCAAGGCTCCGGGGTTTGGGCTGAGAGCTTTTCCTGTGGGCCCGCTCCACAACCAGGACTTTATTTCGGACCCACGCTAGCCTGACCCGGCTGGCTGAAACCTGGGGACTGCGGCGCCCGGCACCCTCCCGAGACTCCGGAACGGGAAAGCGCGCCTTCCTGCTTTACGGCAAGGGCGCGCGCCCTTGCGACAGTGTGACGCTGGCCAGTTTTGGCGGGAAAAGCGCTGCATTTGGAATCCTGTGGTGGCGAGCAGAGGACGGCCTGGTGAGGAGGGCGGCGGGTAGGGTGGCAAGGGAGTCAGGAGAGTAGTGCGGGGTCCTCATTAGCTAAGAGGGGCAGGGCGACGGGCAAGGGGTTCAGAGAGACTCCCGCGGAGGGGCGGGTCCGGAGGGTGGTGCCGGGGTCCCCATGGTAGAGGGACTGCAGAGACCACCCCTCTGCTGGTCTGCGTGCCGCCGGCCCTTCCGCCTCTCAGGGCAGTTTGGCTCCGCCCCGGGCTCCTCCCGGCCTCGGGGACTCGGTGAGCGTGAGGAGGAGGGGCCGCGGTGGTCGTAGTTATCATTCCCCTTCACCCTCTGACCCAAAGCCTCACCCCCCACCCCTTCCCCATATCCCCTGTGAGGCATTGTTCCCCAACTCCTCATCACAACAGACGTTCCCTCCCGGGCTGAGGAAGGCAGTTTCAGCCTTCGCTGTGCGCGGGAATGGGGATGGAGATTTACAGAACAAAACGCCAGAATTTAGAATACTCGTGTGTGGTTTAGACTTGGATAAAATAAGGGTGATGAGGTGTCAGGAGAAACAGGAACTGTTATTTATATTGAGGGCTCACGGCAAGACGCAGAGCTCAGTGGTTTAACAGACGATTGACGCCTGTAGTCATCCCCCATCTTTTCTGGATCCTGCCTCTTACAGCCGTGGTGCACAGTGGAGTGATGGCAGTGCCCTTTGTGGAAGACTGGGACTTGGTGCAAACCCTGGGAGAAGGTGCCTATGGAGAGTGAGTCTGAGTCCTTTTACCCCGCTTTCACATTTTTTCACACCTTTTGTTTTTTCCCCTCCTGTCTTTGAGTACATGCTCCTTGTTTTGGAGTTGTTTATTACAGTACACTTGGGCCTTAGGAAACAGATTTCTGCATTGAAATCCAAGACTTTTTGGGAACTGAAGCTATACAATCTTTTGTAAGGATTTTTTTTTTTTCTTTGTAAAGAGCTGAAAGAGACCGCTGAAGTCAGTTTCTCCTCCCACGTATTCCTTCTTGGGGTTTAGTCATATGGTTAAATGAGCAATGAACAGACTGGCTTCGCACTGCCTGGTGTCAGATCATCAGTCTATCACATACTGGTCATTGTTTTGTTCTTAGGCAAACTTCTTTTTTTTTTT